ACAGAGATTAAAGAGTCTCCTGATTCTATTCAGATTTGGAGATTCAGCTGCCGAATCCAGCCAAATCTCTGCTGAATCGAATCAGCGACTGAAGCTTCACACAGCCCTAGTAGTCAGCATCCACATCTTGAAAACTTCCTGGAGCTCTTCACCTATAGCTTTTCCAAACCCGAGCAGGTCACATTTTCTTAGTATGAGGTTTAGATCACTGTTGTAATACTTCACATCGTGCCCTTGCCTAGGGTGAAATTGATTTGGCCATAAGAATTACTTCCAAAGCTGCAAAATTAATGAAGGTGGAAGTGCTGCACCTTGAAGTGCCCATACTAATTTGGTGATGGAGACAGTGAGATGTGTGCATTCACTGACCTTTATCTGCTGTAATTATAGCCATGGAAAGTGTTGTTCAGGCTGAAAGATCCTGAGACACAGCCCGTGGGTAAAATCATGACTCTGGGAGCTTCTGGAGCCTTATTTTTTTCCCTGCTTGTGTTCTCTGTATCACAAAAGCTTTTGCCCCAGGCCAAAACACTACCAGTAGGTCAGGATCTTTGATCCTCAGCAAACACAAAGCAGAAGAAGGATTTATTTGGCTTTTACCAACCTGACCAATTTTGTTAGCTCTTCCATATTGTTATAATACAATCGCAATAATTAACAGAGCTCTCTGAAAGAAAGAGCTTCCAGAGGAAGGCAGCATAGGAAACAGCACTCAGGCTTGCCAGAATGCTACAGAGCTGCAGCTTCTGATGTATGCCTCACAGGGTGGGGGGCCTTTATTTGTCTTTTAGGTTTTTTAAAGGCAGCCCAACATGTGTTGCTCATTATAGCATGGATTTTTACTGGAGAAAACAGCCCTCTGTTCAAAACTTAGCACTGGATGTGTACTTGGAAAAGCAACACAAAGCCCAATATATTCAACCCTTTGAACAAACTGCTGGATAAAGAAATGCAGAAATGCCCTCAGATAAGTGTGTGTGTGTGTGGCTCTTCAGTACTATAGTGTGTGTGTCAGTTAGATATGATTATAATACATCTAGATGCGTGTGTATTTGCGTGTGTGGATTTATGTGTGTTTCTGCAGTATCCTAAAGATCTCTAGCAGCTAACTGAGGCTAAAAAGAACAAGCACAACAATGAGGACCACTAAACTAATATGGTGTTACTATACACTGTTTGCCCCATAATTGGGATGACCATCTGACCCATTTTAGCTGGGACAGTCTCAGATTACATAAACTGGTCCCAGCTGGCTGTGGGGAAGTATAATGGGCATCCTGGAAAGGCAGGGGCACTGGGCACAGTCTGGCCAGGAGTCAGAGTGGTGTGGAGCGCCTTGCAGCCCCACACCCACTGACTTGTGAGGGTGTGGGGCAGAGGAAGGGGCAGTGTCCTGGATTTCCCAGATGATGTTCCAGTTATCTGGAATTTCCATACGGTCAGCCTAACCATAATCCATGCACAATAAGCAAATAGTACAACATGAAAAGTCCCTAGACAGGAAGATAAAACTTCATCTGGGTGAATGCTTTTATTTATCCCCACCTCTACGTCTTTCTTCTTTTACATGTGATTTTTGCCCCGCACTTTGCAGAACAATTAATAAGTGTTTTGAGACCCCACAACCCAATTCCTGGGGGTTGCTAGAACAGAAGAGGTAGCTGCTGCCACAGGCACTATCTAAGCCACTGCTGCTGCCCACACTACAGAAATTGCTTGTTACATGTCTGCTTCACATTGAGCTAGTAGTTGTTAGTAAGATTCAGGTTATTAGCAAGCCTGTGTATCCCTAGTTCAACTTAGCTCACTTTAAGCAAGAAGTAGGATTTTATTTTAAAAAGGAAGAAAAAAAAACATGGAGGCAGCTGGGTCTTTGAGGCATGCCGTTTACAAACTAGGGATTGAAGCCTGTAAATCTCTACTTCTTGGAGTTCTGGTGGCTTTGGTGTCACCCTAATTGTGATTGTAAGATGAGGAGTACTTTCAATTAAATAGCAGCAGGCCCTAACTCCTCTAGTATTGGCTAGTTTATCCCAACTTGGACTTCTCCTGGTTGAATATCCTAGAGGAATCAATGCTGACAGTTCTACAGGAGTCCTGTGAAGAGCAGCTTAACAATGTTGCTGGGTGCCTTGGATGGCTGCCACATGCAGGGCAGTAGTGACTTCCAGTTGCCTCTGTTGCTGCAATTGCAATCACACAGCTGTGGCAAAAGAGGTTTCTCTTGCCCCCTTATTCTGGTTGGTGTCCAGGGTGGCTGACCCTGTTGCCTTTCCCTAGTTGCACCACTGCCTGTGAACCATTATGCAAAATGAATGATGCCATCACATCAAAATCTTGTCAGTGTAAAGAGAAGCGGGATTACCAGAATAACAATAAATGAAAAAAATCTGTAAATTATTGATCAAACAGTGTTATTCTTTAGGTTTTTAACAGCTCGTTGCTTGAATGCGTACAGGTTTTAGACTTCTAATTTAAGAATATATGTCATTTACAAAGCAGTGCAAATCTCAGCAGTCTTGGCCAGTAGTGTTGAATGTTGACATTTACAGAGAGGGTAAAATGAAGGATGAAATTGTTCACAGCCATTGTGCATACTGATTTGAAATCTCATTTTACACATCAACTCGATATAGAGTTTACTTAGTAATAAAGCAGACATTTTAAGCAAATACTTACAAGTCCATATATATCAATAGTTTATACATTTTCCCTGTAAGTAAATTAAAAGCATATTCAGAAGTGTCATGTTCTTTTTGTAGAGAGATTTCCTCTATGAGTTAGTTCATATTTGGGTTCATATCTTCCTGTATATTGTTCTCTGTGCAAATGCAGTTCCAACAAGGCACTGATTCAGTTAAGGCAAAGTACCATCATTAATGCAAAAGGAGTTTGATATTTGTTAAGGGCATTTGAGTTAAAATTTCTGTGTTTTCTTCAGTATCCTAAGGAAAGCGCCTCAGTATTTCCTGTCATCTGGTGTATTTCAGTTGTTATAACTACTCTTCCAATTGTGATGAGAAGACGGAATGACATTATACATATCACAGCCCTTTAATAATAAACAGCACTGAGCCAAATTTAGTACTCTGGTAAGTAGACTTAATAGTTCCTACTGACTTCATTAGGAATTACACTTTTCTACACCAGGGATGAATTTGATCCATTGTGTGTCTAGACCTTTATACACCCCTTTGAGAGGCTCTCCTGAGCATTTTGAAGCCCTACAGCTCTTTAATTATCTACTTAGGAACTCTGCTCAATGATAAAAATGATAACATTCACAAATGCAGCAACATCAGTTTTATAGCAACTGTGACGTGATAGCCTAATGTTATATGCATAACAGTGAGAACATATCTAAGTTTATGAATGAGCTCATTCCATCCAAGTCTGTCAGTTTTGTCTTTAGCCTTTTGGATTTTAAAAACTACATGTTGATTTCTGAATTAGAAAAATATTGATTTAAAAATTAGATGATTACCTGGCCTTTTGCCAAACATTATGCTTTATTTAGCAACTACAAAAGCATCATCATGTATTATGATTTCTATCCTGAAAGAAGCATTGAGTGTAGAAAATAATGTTGGCATGATAGAAGCCCATCTGAGTTTTCTGACCAAACCATAAATAGTAAAAAATGTTTCTGGTGAACATTTAAAAACTCAGAGCACTCCATCTGTAAATAAATTGTATCACATTTAGGAATGAGATTCCTTACAAATCAAAATTGCAGTGCTGGTTTTCTTTGCAAATTACAGGTGTTAATGGTGCTATTCTAGCATAGCCCTAGAGACTAGATAATCGTGTGTCCAGCCACAGGACTGGCACACACTGGACAATAGCAATGCAAATTTCTCCATAATGTTTGTGTGCGCTCAGGTCACTGCATTTCAGTCGGTATCAGGAGGGATCAGGGAAATGTGCTGCACTTCATTCTATTCTAGGGGTTTCCCTAGCATCTGCCAAGAGTACTGCCCATTTTGTGGTGGGTTCTGGCCTGTGGACACCTGTACTCTGAGAGCTGTATGGAGATCAATAAGTATTTTCACAACAGCCAGTGAAATGCTGTTGGAGGGCAATGACTTTCATTATGTTAGATTCAAGCCAGCAGTGCCAGAGTGTGTGGGAATGAAAAATGAAATAGGCTCTCAAACCTTGATCCCCAATTTAATGTTTCCTGCGTAGGGACAGAAACCTGGGAGAGAACAGAACAATGGAAAAATCCTCTTAAATGATTTTTCTTTACTCATTCATAGAGGTTCTGCACTGAACTGAGATCTCAAAATGCTGTTTCATAGAAAATATGTGGGTAGCATGTGGGTGTGGGTGTCATCCTCAGAATACATAACACTGTTTGTTACCAAAAGGTCAGTTTAATCAGCTCCTTAATTCTTGTAAACCACCTCCTCTGAATCATTTCATACTTATTCAGAGATTCCTGCATAAATTTCATTTATGCTTCATTATGGCTACTAATTATATTTTTAAAAAGTTTAATTTTTCTCAGACTTTGCATTTTCAGTTATACTTGTAGCTACAATTCTAGGTTTGTTCTCATTTGCTTTTTAAGATACTCCGTACCTATCTTTCAGAAGTAAAACTCTCTGTGGTGAAGGAATAAACAGTAATTGGTTCAGATTAATCCTGACTTTAAAATGACTCCCTGTGTAATAGAAGAAGCAGTAGCACAATTAGGGGGCCATGCTTCCTGGTCACGAATCCCAAAAAGGTTACAAAAGTTACAAATTAATCTTGAGTACATCATTAATACATCAAAGACATGAAATCCTTTCATTTGCCGGTTTTTGCTCTTAAATAAGCTGCCACCCAAAAACCTATGTAGTCATAATTAGGTCCACTTTCACCACTACAGTCCAAAAGGTTCCATGTTCCATTACCCAGGCTGTTGATTATGATTGCAGTTTAATACAAATCCATTCAGTATGCCAAACACTCTAGGTTCAAGATGTAGGGACTCTGCCCATCAGTTCAGTGGTTTAGTTCCCTGTTACAATTGGCTGGACACTGGATATGTCCGTCTTTGCAGAGTTCCTTTCTGAAGGTGACCTTGCTTTCTGGGAAGAGCTGTTTCTTTTATAGTGACAGTTCTCAACCCAGGCATGCCTGAAAGGAGGGGAGATGGACTGAAGCGCATGGCTCTGAGCTGCACTCTTCCGCTTGAACACGCAAAGCAGGGACTTGAGCTCGGAACGGAAGCTTTCATTCAGCCAACAGTAAATGAAAGGGTTGTAACAGGTGCTGCTCATGGCAAACCAATGGAAAGCAAAATATAGAGCATTGTTGCTGTGGATGGCCCTACTGGAAATGAGCACTAGGTAGCAGTTTAGTGGGAACCAGCAGACAGCAAAGACCACCACCACCACCATTAGCATCTTCAGCGTCATCTTCTTCTTCCGCTGATGGGCATAATATTGCTCCATGGTGATGTCCCCAATGGCATTCCTCAGCCAGAGCTTCTTGGCCACCATAGTGTATGTGATGGAGATCACAAGCAAGGGCAGCACATACAAAAGTACAAATGTAGTCAAGTCCAGATACTTCCAGAAAAGATCGGCAGGAGGAGGGAAGCTCGGAAGACAGACCATTCGTATAGTTCTGTTGCTGGGGCACAGAAGGAGGAAGAAACAGTTATCTCCACACTCAAAAGCACAATGTACTAAGGGAACAAACACCTTAGAAAAAGCTACAAATGAGCTGAGCTGATACAATAAACAGAAAGAGAATGACTTCCAATTTACAGGTTAGTGCTTTTTTAATTGACACTTTCAATCACATTTGTGCTAAAGAGTAGGTTGCATTTATTTATTTAAACATGTTTTTAAGGCCTTGAAACAAAAGGAAAAAAAAAACACACCTCTTTTCATCTCTGCCTGTGCTTATCAGGTCTAATAGAGATAGTTAAAATGAACCTGTGATGTCTGATACCAAAATAGTGCCGCCCTGAGAAAGTGACAGTGGAGCAGACTTAAGAGAAAATGAAAGTGTCTTTTTGATCTTCACTGTTCATGTAAGAGAACTGTAAGGTGAAGACTCACTGTTCAGATGATAAACGGCAAAGCAGATATTTCAGGTTCTTTCAGTTTGGATGTCAGATGGTTTTAACAATAGAACAAAAGATGCAAGTGTTTTTGCACTTTCTGGTGGTGAAGTTGAGAGAGTCATTTAAGAACACCACTATTTATACATCTTACCTAATATAAAATTTTGCTAGATTCTGATAGATCGCGTGGGGCAGAGAGAAACAGCTGGCCATAACCCAGATTATAATGATGCAAATCCCTCCTTTCACAATGGACATCCGTGGTTTCAGAGGGTGCATTATAACCTAAGGAAGACAAAGAGTTTGGAGGATTTAAAATTTTCTCCTTGGAGGTGAATGAGCTGCAGGCTTTGAATGCAAATCCCAGTTTAGCCTTCCTGCAGTGACAAACCTCATTGTTCAAAGCCAGAGTAAATCTACAAAGTGATGCATCACAGTGGTGGACTGGCCCTTTCCCATGGATCATTTGAATTCAGAGCTACTAGCAGAGACAGAGCCAAATTCAGCATAGATATAAAGCCCAATGTAAGTTGCAAGCCAAAGGGTTGCTCCTGTTCCTGTTGAAGTGAATAGCCAAGCAATTTATTGAGATTAATTAAGATTATGCCTTAAATGTAAATGAGGGTCAGGTAATGTGCATCACATCAGCATCCAGTGGATGAATAAGACAAGTGTGACTTACACTAATTTGATGAGTGCAAGGACCAAGTACAGCCTCTGACAAATAGCTACAGCTTTCACTGAAACCTACCTTACCTGAGTCAGGGCTGTAGTTGGTGCTGGCAATGAGTTGGGGTGGGGAGGATTGCTTTATCTTCTTATCATTCCT